CCAAACCAGTGGTGAGAGGCCTTCCTTGATACTTACATGTACTTTTGAATATTTCATAAGAAGCAAATGATTACTTTGAGAAAAACGTTCATAATAATGTGATAATAGCCTCTGCCTTTAACACTATTCACATTAAATATTAAACACTGTGTGAAACAGCATTTAAAAAAGGAAAACCAGAAAATTAAACATAATAAATATAGTCAATCTTTTATACCTTGTGTTGCATTTGAATGAGGAAAAAAATGTAGAAAAGAAGAATATGGTAGAAAATATTAATAGTAGAAAAAGCAAAACAGCCTTCAGGGATTTGACACTATTACAGAGAGGATGAGGGGAAAATGAAATAATTGTCTTTCCACAGATTGTGACGACAATGTGAACAAATTTAGTCCTGAAATAGTGAGTCGTTCTGCCATTTCCTGTCCGCTGCCACATGCTCTCCTTCATCATTAACATTTCTATCAACGCCAAAGAACACACGCGGAACATAACCTGCCTGCATGAATGACAGTCGATGCTTTTGAAGCTCGGGCCCGGGTGTTTTGGTCTCGGCTCGGCCGATTGGATTAGCTCATTAATGAATATGCAGGAGAGCCTGTTGTTGTTGTGGCTGTCTGCTGAGTCCTGGTACTGTAGACGCAAATTGGTTTAGATGCTTAAGAAAGGACATGAAGTACAGACACCGTGGACCTCTGTTTGATGGTGTACACGTTGTTCGGTGTTTCAGTACACATTGCTGCAGTAGACAGCAGCGACTGCTCATCAGACCCCGTGTCCTTAAGCTAAAAGATAACTAGGAACCGGAGATGGGAGGATCCGTGGTATTGATATATCGATACACACGACTGATCCATTCGTGTCATGTGATCACTGAGCGGAAATAGAGCTGGGACTCAATGTGATCCAGTCCACTAGACGTCTTTGTACCTTCATGGTAACAATCACACTTTTTTTCATCCTTTGGCTGGGTTTGCGACTTATACTCAGGTACGACTTTAATCTTAAAATATATAATTTCACATGTTTGTTATTCTCACACTAACAGCCACTAGAGGGCACTGGTGTGACCTATACGCCGGAGCGACTTATAGTCCAGAAAATACGGTACTTTGTTAGGACTTATATGTTATTAAAAATTTAAAAAACGTAATCAGTTTCATATCGAACCAAAAATTCTTGTAGAAATGGATTCTCCTCTGTCCTCGTGTCATTTTGTCCAGATTGTTTATTATCCTACATTTCTGCAAACCACAGATGATCAGAGGTCATGCCTCCGAACCAAAATTTCTCAGATTCACCTGTGAATGTCACTCCTGTGGTTAGACTGTGAAGCAGTGAGTTATTTGTGGCTGAAATTGTGCTCAAAAAGCTGTCAGTAACGTCTTATTTTAAAACATATCACAATTACTAAAGTGTAGCTGGACATTTTCCACCCCAGCTTTGCAGAAGGTGACTTTAAATTTTTTTGGCCGGGGTGCCTTTGTTGCTTTTACTCTGTCACCGCTTCCAAATAAAGTCTGTCCTCGTCACTGCTGGCTCTTCAAAAGTCTGTTTTTATATAAAAAATAAATAAAAAATTCCCGACCCTTACTTACCCTTACTCTCTTCCCCTCCCTCTGTCTCTCTCTTTTATATATAAAAGTGCACTTGGCACAGCTGTTATAATACATTTTATCAGCACAAGTAAGGTTGAGACGCCTGTCCCTGCCAAGTGTGAGGACACGCGTCTCACCCTATTTGCAGAATGAAATTTACTTCTTCAGAGAAAAGATGAATCATTGCCCTGGAAGCCCAAATAAAATGATGTAGGGTTTATTTGAAAGCAAAAATACTGTATATACAAACCTTATCTTTATACTTTTCCTTTATATTTTCTGTCCCTGCAGTATCATGACAAATATTCCCCAAACAACTAAATATCCCAGACGGAGCAGAGAGATAGCCTTTGGAAATGTCATCATTAGCATTTTCCCGTCTCGCATGCCCGTCTCATGTGGTACCGATGTGTCTGAACTGGCGTATTAACCTGTTGTCTCGTCTTTTGACAGGTAATGTGTGGGATTATATCATGTCTGAAGTACAGGGAACGCTGGAGTTTTCTGTAGAGCTACACAAGTTTCACAATGTGGATCTCTTTCAAAGAGGGTAGGTGATGCGCCTCACGGTATCGTCACTTTTTCTAAATTGTCTTTTTGTACAAGAGAGTCATATGAAAGGTCATAAAAGAATATATTATAATTTATTCATTTTATATAATGGGCTGTTTTCACAGCAGCCATCTTGAAAGACGTTAGGAGCAAAATAAACAAAGTATAAGTGGGTCGACTGAACTCTACCTCGATAATCCCTTCATCTGAATCCATTACTACGTCGTTACCACCCGTTTCCATATCTTCTGGTAACGGCCAATCTCTCCCTGAACAGAATTGGACCTCAGAGTAAAAGTCAAAAAGCGTCGAGCTATAAATAGACCATGTACCCTATCTGTATGCACACGTCTTCGCTCAAATTCTAATTGCTGCAGTCGATACTAATCCCTGCAGCAGACTGACGGAGGAACCGCCGCGAAGCTGCGTACTCACCGGCCCGGCTGTAAACGGATTGCATTAGAATCGGAGATTAAATCTGCATTTGATTTGGAAAAAGAGTCGAACGAGCACTTACACTCCGCTAATGGAGGGACAGAGCCGGGATTATTGCAGAAGGGAATCTTTTTAAGCGTCCCCTTTGAACTTTCATGTCTGTCCTCATGTCAAAAGTGAGGAATGTATATGCAGACAATGTTTAAATTCACAGTACAGGATAAAAGTCACACACTGAGGCAACATTCTGGCAACGGTGGGCAAAGAGAAAGGGAAGAAAAGAGGGAAGGAAAGAGAGACGTTTTAGATGCAGACAAATCCATTCGTTTAAGAACTCTCGTTTAAGGACTCTTTCTGAGCTTTAGTCAAGGTGTAGTACTAACTTACAGTACTACGGTGTACTCATCCCAACCTTCTCTGCCTTTAGACGAACTAAAACACTTCACAAACAATAATGTTTTAAATGATCTGTGGCCTAAATATGTGGAAACGTCCTTTAACTAACGACAATCACAAACACTTTGAGACAATTCCAAGAGTTCAAAGTTCCATGTGTGACTTGTTCGTCTCCTCTTGTCCAGGTTCTACCAGATACGAGCAGGATTGCAAGTCTCGCCCCGAGTTCCACACAGGTTGATAACGACGACTCAAGAAAATGCCGGTAAGGGAAACGTGATTTTTAACAAACACACACACACAATGAAGACGAGTACGCCAATCCACAAAGTCACAATATTTTTAAAAAGACTTCATGTATTTTACTAACCATAACTTATGAGTTCAATTACCCTGTTCACTGTTTTATTTATTATTTCCTGCATTTCTAATTAAGACATCAGCTCATTAAGCTCTATCCACACTCCTTTTCTTCTGGACGTCACACTGTGTTCTTTGAACCCGCTCGGCCGTTCAGTTCTGGGTCCCCCGGCTTCTTGAAGTCGTTTCGGTGGCCATACTAATTCACAGTAATAGTGCTATTTTTAGCCGGACGTGACCGGCGCACTGTGTGTGTGGTGTGATTTAGCAGCGCGAGCGAGGACCACATTCTGTCAGTAGGGGCTGACTGTTCATAAATGTGAATTAGAGGAACACTGAGCCGCAGACCATTATTTCAGGCTATTTCTGGGAATCGTTTGAGGACATGGTGTGTGTGTGTAGAAAAAAAATCCCCCAGGATATTATGTGTTGGTTTTGATGTCACGTAAAGATGACATTTACTGTATGGGCCTTAACTAACTTGTACTGTATATCTAAGGCAATGTAGGGCAGATAGTTATGGTTTTTTTTTTTTCCCATGAGGGTGATGAGAAAATCGACACCATAAGACGATTGTGCTGAAGTACCTGGAATCAATATTGGATTCCATGACTCCTGCTAGGGATGACGGGTGACTCTGCAGTAGGTGATCGATGCTGCTGATTTGCTCGGCTTTACCTTTATAGTCACGTTTATTGTTTTTATGACGTGGTTAGTAATACACATGTCAAATAAAGATTTTGGTTCGGGGACAAACCGCCACGCCTCATGTCTCCCTCAGCGTTCATCAACGAAAAACGAAAATCAAATTCTCTGTTATGTGTTACGCGTCCCACTGCGGCGTGCCGTTTGTAAAATGTAATAACTAAGCTGCCCTGAAAGCCTTTAGCTGCCCTTCTTCTCACACAACATTATCTATAAGCCTATAAATCACAGGATGAAGCGCAGACATGCACAGGAAGCATTCATCAAATACAGACCGGGGGAAATAATCTCTCGCAGTAATCTGGAACCTCTCTGGAAAAGTGTCTGCTTGACACTTTAGCAGTCTGTGCTCCGTGTGCACAAATGAATTGCAAATGAAGGTCTGTGCCACTCACTTGGATGACGCGTGTACCGCAACCAGCCAGTTATTTATGCCGCCGTTCTCCTTCATACAGAGTCTGTCACATGTCCGCCAGTCGTTTGACGACAGCCCTACAGGTGTGTCAGGAAAGAGCAGCGTTCTCAGCAGGACGTTTCTTTCGCGCTCTAACAACTTGCAGCTGGTCCCTAACTCTGCGCCAGCACCACTGCACAATCTGGAAGTATACGGCTTGTAGTGAAAAACAATATCACGTGGAATACCGTAATAAAGTGAGAAGGACAAAAGCTGCATTGCGATTGTTTTGCGACATGACGTGCACCACTGCAACCACAGCCTGGTCTGGTACGATAATGCTAACACAATCACAAACCAGGGTCACTTTTGACTTCAGAAATTTGCAATATATTATATTATATTACTTACGGTAACAAGATGTGGCTTATTACCATAAAATACATGAAATTCCAAAATCTGAATTCAGCTGAACAATGCCGGGCAGTATTTTCATTTTTTCCTCTATTTAAAAACTACACCACAAAAAAAAAAAACAAAAATAAAAAAGTAAATAATCCAAAATATTTTAAAGGATATATTATTTACAACAGAAAGTTACACATCTTTACCAGTGACACAATCTTCTGCACACCTTTGTCGAACGTTCTCTGCAGCAGGGCTGTAATCTTCCAGACATTTTTCCATCTTAGCTTTTAGGCCTCTCACATTTCTCAATGACTTAAACATTTCGGAGACGAAACCATTTCAAAGACCTGGCTCCCGTTGAAAAACTCGCTCTCAAGCATGGGATGTACAGCACTTCATTCACGCTGGTCATCATTTCACAGCTTTTATATACAGCAGAGTACCAGGCAACTGGACTGAGTTGCTTTCAAGCAGACGTTTCGGTTTGTAGCCTCTTAGTTCAGAGGTAAAACATCTCCTAAAAACCAAGGCAGTCCTGTTCCCCGTTATTTAACTGCTTTGGTTCAAATCAATTCCAATTCCATTCACTGCCCCGAGTGGTCCATTTGGTGAACTCTGAATCTTTCGTAAAACTCTCGTCTCCCTCCTGGACATTCCCTTTTTGCCCTGTTGGTCAGCACATCCAGAGTTATTTTGTCCACTTTAACCATTTGTTACCTTGAACCTGGTCTGCCAGAGTGGTCTGCTACATGCTGGCTATTCTGGTGTTGATGAATGTGATGAGCTCTCTGCTCCCTGTTGCTGCTGCTGCAGAGAGTGGGCATCTCTTAGCTCCTTGATAACGTCAGCGCAGTTTTCCCTGCCGCGGAACATTTCCTTCTGGACTTTGCGTCCTCTGAGTAGTTTCTGCACTTGAATGACCGCCAGCTCCATCTTCTCCTCTCTCTCCGGTGGCTCCTTCACGGTGGGAGTGACGGGGCGAGGGACGTGAGAAGTTGGAGCCATCTTTTTCAGCTTGTGCTCCTCTCTCAGGGCCTTGTATCTGTTCATCAGCGTTACCAACCGTTCTGCAGGGGGTTTGGTCACAAGGCTCTTTTTGTCCACTTTACCTTGAGGTTTCCTTTCACGTGGTTTAGGAACCAGGTTGGCGATTGCTGCCTCCAGCTCTGATAATCCCTTGTACGTTTCTCTGCAGTAGCTTCTCAGATCATCGATGCTCCTGGTGAACGAAGCCTTGTTGATCGGAGTGATGTGAGTGCTCTCATCTGTGAAATCTGGGCCACGTTGGTCTGGCTTTCCTTCCATAGCGCTTCTTTTGGCTTCCAGTTTTCTTAGTTTATCTACGTAGTTTTTGTGAATCTTCCGCAGTTTGATTTCCTTAATGCTTTGCAGCTTGAAGTGTATGTGATGTAGTTTTTCCTCTGCCAGGTCATTTTCCGCCTCGTCCCTCTGCTTCAGCAGGTCTCTTAGCAGAGCCAGACGAGTGTCCTGCAACTTCTGAATTTCCTCCGCCAGAAAATTCCACTCCTTCACCTCCATCTCTTCCATCATCTCCCTGCGCTTGTTGAGCTGACTCAGGTCGTCAAGCGAAGGAAGTGTGGCCTCCCAAGCACGTCTGGCGCGCGCGCGCTCTATCAGTTCCACTTCGGCCACGCCTGCGGGCAGACCCTGACCCCATGTCAGGTATGCTAACTGCAGGAGCTCCGGCTGACCAACCTCAGGGTGGATCACATACTCCGGGCTAAAGGGCTCTGTTTGGGTTTCACTCTCCCTGTAGTCGGTCTGGACCCCCACCGTGAGGCGGGCGCGAGCTGCCGCAGCTGAGAGCTGCGTGGCCTCCTGGTGTTGCTCTAAAAGGAAATGCACCAACATTTTGTACAAGTCGGGGTAGTTCTCCTACTTTTCTTGGCCTCCACCTGATTCCCTTTGGTGGCGTTAACATTCTTCTTTTGTGGAACTGTGCACTTCATCCTCAAAGGTTTAAAGCCATTTAGGACTTAGTGATGTCATCATGATGTCAAAACCTTACATGCCTTTAAAAATTGCTTTGGAAATGCCACTGCCAAAAGGCAGTAATGGAATTAGTGTAGAGTCGAAATGTCAACTGCCTGGAAATGCCAGGAGCCGTGGGGTTCTTTGATACGTTGAAACATTTTTTAAATTGTGAACCGTGTCAAGTTCGAGGGGTCAAAGGTGAACGAAGAAATCAGTTATTATCCTTTTTTTTAAAATCTACATTTCTAATCTTGTTTTTAATAAAACTATATTTTGTTTGACCACAGTCGGGTGCTGGATGATAATAACTGATGTAATTTTGTCGTTTTTTGGTAATTTTTAACTATAATTGAAAACAAAATTATATGTGGTAATCCAAAAATAAAATAGAAATATTTTATTTGGTATAAAGGTGGTTGCTGTCACTCATTTTATACTGACTTAGGTATTTTAATATATTTACACTGGATACATGGATTAAAGCGAGGCCAAAGGTCAGTCAAAGTAAAGGGCATAAATGACACTTTAAAAAAAAAAAAAGATAAAAAGTTTTTCACTTTTTGTCTGCTTTCTCTTTCCGAACAATTGTCTTGTATATGTACATGCAAAAAAGACACAATTAAAAAGAGTTTTGTTGTAGATTCATTACATTTGCTGTGTATGATTGCCACACCTAGCTTAGCCCTAACCTTTGACCTGTTGATGCACAGTCTTCTTCATCAGACTGGATCAATTCATCAGCTCTCCAAAGCTTTGGCCGTCCCTTCTTCATGCTCCTTTTTAGTAATTTGCTTTTCATTAAATCTGCGTTCCTTTGTCAGAGACAGCATATCAAAGAACGGAGGCGGTTTGGTGAAGAGGTCGAAATTATTATGACGTTGGCTCCAGCTCCACTGCTTCCTTACTCGCGTTTGCTTGAGCAAATGTCCATGAAGGATGTTCTCCTTCCATGACAACCTTAGTTCCTCCACGCGAGCTTCATCTAAATATTTAGTGTTCATTTTGGTTCTGTCGCTGCCAAAATATGAGAACCAGGCCTTGGAGGGGGTCCTGCAGCTTGGTTGGATTTTAGAAATCGCGTCCCTGAAAGCCAGCGTTGCACTGTGGTACTGTTGACTGTAAGTGTACCTGCGCCCTGGCCACTTTGCCATTTCATCCTGGAGTAGCTGCATGGCTAGCAAATTTGAGTTGAATGTCTGGATGCTGTAGTTGTGTGCCGGTTTGGTTGCGTCCTGGTCAATTATTATGACAGCAGCCTTTGGCTTCTGAAGTTTCTCACTTAGGCTTTTTATCAATCGCAGGTGTCCCCGATTGAAGTCCTTCAAAGGCACCTGTTGGCAGTCCAGCTTCCATTTGGCATATTCTTTGTTGTAGATTTCCAGTGGCAGTTTCCGTTTCATCCTGGCCAGTCGGGTTGGTGAATCAATCTCGGTACTTGAGCTGGTCTTGAGCTTCCAAAGCTCAGCAGAGACGCCAAATCTTTTGCTCATGCTTACAATCATGTCCGCCGAGGGGAAGAGGTCATATTTCACCACCTCCGTCAGTTCCCTCAGTTGACACAAATGGCTCAGTTTTGACAACGCGTGGAAGCACGGCTCTGGGACTTTGGCTCTGTTGTAGATCCGTGGCTCTTTCATGACGGTCAGTAGTGACTCGATCAGATAGATCGGACTCAGACTCACATCCAACGAGTTGTAGATGCGCTTGTAAAAACCCAGGTTTGAATTGTAGAGAACAATGACTGACTCCTCCTCATTAGCGTTCAGGTTTATAGGAACGGCCTCAAAAAGTCTCTGGACTGCCTTTTGCTTTAGCCCTTCAAGAACAAATATGTGTGTCTTCATATCCAGCACGTGGAATCCAGTAACGTAATTTAAATCCTTCTTCTCATCACATATGAAATTGGACAGAGCTCTTTCTATGCCTTCCAACGATTGCGAGTCCAGATTGAAAGCTGATCCATTGATTCGGAGGATCTCCGATCTCAGTTTCGTCTTAATGTCCAGGTTCTTGTTATCGAAGAGGTAGATGATGCGCCCAAACGGACCGTCACAGGACCCGCTGCTATCTCTCGTATTCAGCGGGTGGGCTATCTCGACTTGAACTTTGAGTTGAGAATTGGCGTTGTAGTAGTGACCTTGTGGCAGAGCTCTGAGGGCGGTTGTGTCCGACATCTTCCAGGCACACGTTTTCCTGTCAACCTGCAGAGGTCCTTTCGGTGGCGGAGGGCCATGTTTGATGGGTAAATACACCCTTAGCCTTTTTTTCCCAAATAGTATCTCGGATAAATCTAGATAAGCAATGCCGTACGGGTTCAGAATGTCTATTTTTTGTTTGAACGAGCCTTCCGTTTTTTGATATTTGTTTGGTTCTTCTCTTACCTCCAACCTCCTGTCACGGTCATGAACCTCTATCTGCAAAGGTGAGCTGGCCAGGAAGTCCTTAAACTCATGAGGACTCATCAAGCCCGTCAGGACGACGTTGACATCTCTGAAATGAATTTTAGCCTCGTGCTTGTGATAGTTTGTGGTGTGAATGCCCAGGTTGTGAAACTGATACTGACAGTAGACGGGCGTGCATTTCTCCATTAGCTCATGGAAGGGCACTGGGGACGACGGCAAGGAGGTTGCCGACAAAATTGTGATAACCAGAGGATTGAGTTCCACTTTGAGTTTATCAGATAACAGATCATTGTCCAGGGAGATGTTGATCAGTACCTCAAACACATCAGATGAACAGACTGGAAAGCACTCGGTCACAGAGGTTTCGCCGGCCAAAAAGTGAATCAGGTTGATTTCCACTGTTGTAGCGCCATACTTTCTGATTTCTTTAAGTTCACAGGGAGTAATTCTCGGTTTCTGGAAACTTGCTGCCATCTGCCTGGCAGTTTCCGAACAATCTAAAGGGATCTTGCGTTTGTGTTTTGGAATGAAAGTATTCGCACAAGTGATTCGCAGTTTGTTTATCATATCCTCAACGTCGTCCGGCGTGTTTACGGCTCTTTCCAGGTGTAAAAATCGAATGTTTTTGTCCGAGCGAGCCCTGGGACACATTTTCTCCTCGCTGTTCCATATTTTCAACACGACCTTATGAGGGCGCAGACTGACCAAGATGTCTCTATTAATACCTATTCTATAGCTATGGGTCCAACTGATCCACATCTGATCCCCTTCTTGCCACATGTACATGATCTGGAACTCATTATCTTTGTACACTTTAGCCACATGACCAAATATTAGAACATCGATCGCGACCGCCTCAGTGTCGTCAGGCAGAAGCTTGTATTCAAGGTGGTAGCACCGTTCCCGCTTGTGACCTCTGACCATAGTGGTATCCTTTTTTTTCACGGCCTTTTCGGGGTCAGCCGAACTGTCGGTTTCCTCCCTTGGAAGAGCAAGGGCAATGTCCACCGTCCATATAATGAAATAAGAGCTGCCGTCTCCGGCCTCCATTGAAGCCTCCATTGAACTTGACCGATGTTCTAATTGCGAAGCCATTGGCCATGGGTAGCAACTCATAGGCTGACAGGCCTCCTGCTGGTCTGTATTTATCGCCATCACTCCTGTCTGTACGCCACTTATAAAAGCGCGTGATGGACATGCAGACCATGAATACAAACTCTGCTGTCACATCTCATGTTTTACATCAAAGGCTCTCAGGATGACGTCATCATTACATCATCAGATCTCTTGCTGAACAAGACTAAAGGCCGCGACGGTTGAAAGTATATAGTTGCAGTATAAATGTTTGTATATTTATAGTTTTTTTTTTGCATCAATTTATAAATTCATCATTCATTCATTAACTTTATTTGTATTGCTATCTCATCAAGTCCAGTCCTATTGCTGCTCAATTTGTTTCTTAACAATCACTATATGAATAATAATAATAATAAAAAAACTAATCCTTCTTTCAGCTGCTTCCATATTTTTTTCCTGCCCGGCAACTCCATCTCCAACATCCACCTTAAACTCTCTATCTCCAAACCATCTTCACCTTAAATGTCCAATCTCCTCATCTCTAATCCTGTCCATCCTGTGAAAATCTCAGCATCTTGTTTGACTTTCTCCGCTCGGCCATTTGTCTAACAGACAACAACTTTCTCTAAAAAGCTTGGGAAATAAACAGTGTAATTTTTTCAAATTAATGATGAATATATTTATTTTTAAGTCTCGTTATGACCTTTATTTTGTATTTTTGTCGTAAGGCCACAGTCGAATTACTCAAGAACGTCTGCCTCTAGTAACATGATGCAGGTCATGTGGCGTCTAGTAACTGAACGCAGCCAGAATACACACTTAAATATGTGTCACTGGGGCAAAAAAAAATACTGAGGAAAGTAACCTACATTGACGAACCCACTGTTTCCTTCTCTGTGTCTGACTCTGATCTGTTCACAAAATCAACGCCGTTCCAATCCACTGTTGACTGTGGTTGTGTTTTTGAAATCAGGCGACTGCAGCTTCAGCTCTGCGGGCGTTCGCGATGGCACCGTGTTCAGCCGGATATTTCAGATCCTTTACAGAAATGAGGAGATCGCGGTCAATGATTGTATGATGTTCAAAGTCCACCTGCTATTGGACGGCGAGCGGGTGAGTCACACAGCCGACATGTCCTACCTATAGACTAGTCTTCACCACTTGTTTAAGAACTGCTAATATGTCTATATAATTCTACGTTATATGAATTAAAAAAATATTTATTTTAAATATTATTGGCCTATTGAAGCAAACTGTCAGAATAGTTATTTATATAGTTATTTTCAGCTTAAAAAAACAACTTTATCAGTAGAGGAAATCGTGATAATTACTGAGTTTAACGACTCTTCACCAATTCAGCTCTTTCACTGACAGATGTACATTTTCCACCCGCCAGACGGCCCATGCTCGTCTCGAATGACGAGGAGTGAAAATCCGTCTGACACCTATTGATGTACTGTCTCTGTGAATGTACTTCAACCGTGGGAAGGATGATGAAAAACAGACTCTGATCATGCATTTTTTAGCAAGCAACTGGACATTGGATTGACCAATCAACAGTAACCGTGTGGTTCAAGGGGCAAAGAGACGTTGGTTAACTTTAGTCAGAACAGCATCTATAGCTAACAGTTTACCTTACAGATAGCTACAGACAAAAACACATCCTGTCACAGTTTGTGCTGTGTCTGTTGGGATGTATTATGGTTGGATAGATGCAGTTCTTACCTTTTTCTTTAACGCCACTGTACTGATTACTTTCAGGTGGAGGAAGCTTTGAGTGAAGTGGACTTTCAGTTGAAACTGGATCTTCATTTCACCGACATTGAGCAACAGTGAGTTTCAAAAGCCGATATCACACTGCTGTCCCCCCCCCAAAAAAAAAAAAATTAGACGAGACATTGATAAGAAATCCAGGGAAAGGCAATGTAATAAAGCAGAAATTCAGACAATGTTGGTACACAAAACATGTGTGTTATTTACACACACTTACTAGGAAGCTCAACGAAGGGCATCGTACTGTCCCAGGGTGTTTAGACAACGTGCCACAGAGGGTAGAAAGGACATGGGTTAAATATACACAAGGGAATGGAAACAAACCAAACAAAACACAGGTGGTGAAAATTAGCGCAGGTGCAGGGAATTAAAGGGGCGGCAAAGACGGAGGGACAGGAAGTGGCACAAAAGACGAGGCACAAAATAAAACAGGAAATGAAGACAGTGACGCGGGACAAAAGTACACATTGAAGTGGATTTCTAGAAAGTGTACCATCATCCAAAGTATTTCATATTTAGATAGATAGATAGATAGATAGATATTTATCCCTTGTTTTATTTCTAATCTGTGTACCGTTGAAATATCTGTCCCTACGTCTCCTTCCCAGGCTGGCAGAGATCCTGACTGTCCCGCTGATCAGCACTCGTACCCTCAGCCTGCACTTCCACCCGCACAAAGGCCTCCACCACCACGTCCCCGTCATGTTCGACTATTTCCACCTGTCCGTCATCTCCGTGTCCATACACGCCTCGTTGGTTGCCTTACATCAGCCGTTAATCAGGTGAAAATGAGCAAGGAATCGCATCAAGGTTTTTTTTGTCAAAGTCCTGGCTTTTGGGCTTTTCAGTCTCTGCAGAAACAATTGGCTCTTCACTTCACGTGTGGTCTCTGTTCTCTCTCCAGCTTTGCACGGACAGGGAAGGGCTCCTGGCTGGGGAAGAGCTCCCCAGAGAGCACCAGTGATCCGTCTGCCATGTCTGTGGAGAACCTGGTGTTTGGAGCCGGCTACTGCAAACCTGTCATCTCTGAGGTACTTCATCCTGCTGCTGGTTTGGTGACATTGAAGCATGAAGTGAGGGAGGGTCAATTTCTTCCTTGACTTAGTGTTGTCACTGTAAGTTTTACAGTGATTATCAATTGACGACCAGCGGACCCAACCTGGAAGGCCAAACCGCCCAATCTGGTCCCTGACTGGATTTCAAAAGTTTTTTTTGTTGTTGTTATTTATTCATTTGAGCATCCCTGGTGTCTGTCCAGAAAAAAATCTGACCAAAAAATGTGTTATCACATGTTAGCATAACATTTGGATATGTTGCTCTGCGGCTTTTTTTTTAAAATGTACTCGCTGAGAGCTTTATGTAAAAATGAGGTCAGACATAGATTCTCTTTGTTTTGAATGGGGACGTGGGAGATTTGAAGAGAACTCTCTTCCCTTTCACAACCGCTGGAACCACTGATGTGGTCTACGTAGCCTGCACTCGTTCCACGCAGCACACCGCACCAGAAGGCATTAGTGGTAAGAACAAAGATAGAACTTTCCACACCTGAGCAGAGGCTGGCTCTAGAAAGGCCTCTTACCTCTGACGGTATCGCTGGTATAGTCTTAGTCCGTGTTTGCCCATAAATCACACCGTGTTGTTAAGCTTGTTTTTTTTTTTCCCACCCTTTTATCACATGCGTCTCTCGTCACAGTCTTCACTGTAAATTCCTAATGAGTGCCCCGGTCGCCCCCTCCCCTCCTCCTCCTCCTGGTCTTTACACCCAACCCTGGCTGGGCGTTTTAGTAAGCTCTGTGTTTAGCCAAGCAGGGGGGTTTCGTTTGATCAGGGTAATGAATTCTGCTCACAAGTGCCACGTACCACGAGACCCGTCTCACTTCTGGCCTTCATGTTCTGTTTCCAAATCCTTCTGATGTCAAGATTTCATGTCTTTAAATGTTTCTTTTTTTAAAATAAGCGATTTAAATTGACTCCAAATCGTTTATATGCAGATGATGAAGTAAAATGCCTGGACAACTACATTGAAAATATGTCACATTTCCTGGTGTTCTCTTTTAGCGGTTCAACCCTTCCTCCACAGGATTCTCCGTCACCACAACACGCTGTAATGTTGCACAAACAAAACCTTAAATTTCCCACGTCAGGTGGGTCGGAGCTGAAGTAAAACCCGAGCGTTGCGAGCACGCAGAGAAACTATGGTTTTGGGATAATAACTAGTTGATGCAGAAAAAAAAGAAAAAAAGAAAAATCACTATTTTTCTTTGCACTTTGCTCAGACTGATCCTGGCAGGCCTCTATAAAGCAAAGAGAATTATGAAAGTAAACATACAGATGTTCCTTCCTGGTTTTGGTATACTGCGCCGCTGCAATTACAGAGCGCACACAGGTATGATGATAGGGCTGGAGACTGAAGTCGCCCGGGGCAAATTACAGTACATCCTCAGATACTCGCTGGGTGCTGCATGCTTTTTCAAAGCTCTGAGTCCCGCTGGCGCTACACAAATATCTCAGCCATGGGAGGAACTCCAATGCTTGGTGGACTGCGTTAGGTCAGGGACTAAGAGATGATTCGAAGCCCAGGACAATAGCATTAGCTCTTCAGAAAAATCAGTGGCTGAAGCCTAAAGGCCTGCTGTGAACTGATCAAATACAGTCACTGTTTCTACTGCACTGTTAGAGGGCCATCTGCTGGAAGGAAGGTTCACATTACAACTAGTCTTAAAGTTTATTCTCTCAAATACAGAAGGACTATATTTAATATTTATACTTTTAATAAAGGTATAAAATCATAACAAATACTCCAATTGAAATACTTGCAGGAATATTTTTCTCATTTTAATACTTTATCTCCACAACACGCTCTGTTTTTATCTCATTTTATTCATTTTTTTTTTAACCCGTGTCAAACCGGCCTGCCAAAACTTCTGGGTCAACTTCCCACAAGTTGTCAACCTTTAAAGGTCATAACAAGGATGGGTAACATCCTCTCGTGCCACATCCACATACTGATGTGCGTTTACGGCTGACAGCAAGCTGTGTTTAGGGCCCATTTGTTCCCGACGCTGCATTTGATCTTCCAAGTAACGACAACGACTTTGGCGATTCAGACAGGGCCGTCTTTTCAACTCAAGGTCAGAGACAAGCCTATACACCGGTTAGGCCGTAAAGTTCAAGTGCGCTTCCACGTCCCATTATTAAGGCCCCGGCCGTCTTTCTCTGAGAGGTGAGCGCTGACCTACATAGCGGCTGACATTTCCTTTGGGTGCTCTGTCTCCCTGCAGGGGAGCTTTTATGTGCCCAGTGAAAACTGCCTGCAGAGAGTTCACACGTGGCACCGAAGGCTCTGTCGCCTCCTGTTGGCGGCTCACAGAGGGCTGCACACCTACTACACTGCACTGATGAAGGAAATCTCACAGCTGCAGCAGACTCCCTGTGACACAGGTGGGTATAGAGGAGGGCTAGATTTGCATTTTATTTTGAAAAGATTTTATAGAATTAGATGTGTTTAAAAAAATGTTTTTCTACTACAAATACAATTTCAGCGTTATTCTGCTTGTGCACAAAATTTCTTTTTTGAGTTTGTTTTGTTTTAAGCTCTAGGAAAAAAAGAAAAAAAAACTATAATATATAGCATGACTTCATGACACTGTAATAACTTCCCAAATGCATGTCTCATTGTTTGAACAGAGGTGCGTCCAGTAGAAGAGACTCTAAATCAGCTCATGATAGAACTACAGGTTTGTTACATTCATTTATATATATATATATANGTAGAGATGTTAACTTTTGCAGTCATACATGTACAAAAAAGTGTTTTTATTCTCCTTACTGTCTGTGCTGTATGTCCTTGTCTAAAATGAACAAATCGAAATGTTCTTCTGGTACGAGTCTTGTCAGATTAATAGAGCTGCACAGAAAATTAATCAATATAAGTATAACTGCAGTGTAAAACCAAGTCTAGAAAATGATGTCAAAGATTAAACGGATCATTAAATAACCAAGGCTTTTCAAACCTGGCTTTTGAAGTGTTTAAATTCCATAAAAAAATATTACAAAGCGAATCCATTTAACTTTCGAGCAAAACTCCAGTGGATTCCTATGAAGACTGAAACAAGACATAAGAACTGCACGGCCCATGATCTGTTCATGATTCTCTACTTGTTTCTAACTTTCCTCAGATGCAGGAGGGCCAGGAGAAAGTAGCGGAGCAGATCAGCCGGGACGTGAGCCAGCTCTGCTCCCAGCTGTCCGCTCTGTGGAGCCGATTCCTGGACACCGCGGTGTTAAACCCCCACGTCCTCAGCTATCTGGCCCAGGAGCACCACACGCTCAGGGTGAGAATCGCACCCCGTCAAAGTCAGACTTACTGACTGTGTAACTGCTGACACAGACACAGCCGGTGTCACGGCTCTGTTGCCATTTCAACACCCCACACACCGGCACAAAAGTGAGAAAACAATCAGAAATGCTTCCGCAGACGTTGACATTTGAGCTGTGTAAGCAGCTCCTTAAGGCGTGTCATGTTCAATTTTTTTTTCAAAAGGTCTTACAAGAATATTAAACAAACGTCTGCCACACTGCACTGAACATTCTTGTTCTGAGGAGACGTCAGCCACTGTCTGGCATCAGCTTTGAGAAACAGCCATTAAATAAACCCATAAATGGGTTCTGTGGATTTACTAGTGTACACACAAACCTCAAGTGCAATTTGGTTCAGAGGTCGCAAACTACTTAAATGTACCCTTTGTTTTCATGCAAAGAAGTACAAATATATTAGATATATATTTTTTGTACAAAAAACGTCCTAAAATTGAGGTGTTCGTGTATTTTTTTTATCATCAAAATTCTTCAATCAGGCCCGGATTAAACACCGTAGTGGGCCAGTATTGGCCCGCGACCCATATGTTTGAGTCTCCAGGAAGGTGCAGTTTACTGTTATATATGGTAGAACAACACGTTCTGTTTTGTGTTGTTTTTAAAAGTCTCATTGGTTTATGTCTCATTACTTAAATCTGTGTGTAAGTAAATGTATTTTTATTTTTAACATGAGGAAAAAATATAAAAAAAACCTGAACACAAATTTAGGGCCCCTTCAATACATCCACAGACTCCCTAGGGTCTGCAGACCTCCTGTTGAATATTTCTTTGACAAGACATTTTCATTGTATAAATGGAGATTTTTTTTTTTAGAGTTTTAACGTTGGACTTGGATAATGGTGTGTTTTGTGAAAACCAGGTCAGGAGGTTCTCAGAGGCGTATTTCTTCACCGAACATCAAAAAGAGGCAGCTCTTACCTTTCAAGAGGAACTGTGAGTATGAGTAAAGAATAGATAATGCGTCTGCCGCATACAAATACGCCACTGTGTTATTACTCTGCTATTTCAGAATCAACAGACACGGCCAAATAGCCGCGGAGATAAGAAGCTCAGACTACCTGACCAAAATGCCTCCTTTACCCGTTGAGTGCCTGGACATCGACGGCGACTGGAACAGCCTGCCTATTATTTTCGAGGACAGATTTATAGAGTCTCCACCTACAGGTAGTGCGAGGGACAAACACGACTTTTGTCTTAATCACATTCCATGTTATCTGTCACTGATCTACCGTATATTTTTCACCCTTGAATCCAGACCTGGCTCCACACGAGCCAACGACCGAAGAGCAGAGCAACACAACTTCCAGAGAGGTTTCTAGAAGCATCCCAGCAGCCGATTCACCAGCGATTCACGTGGATCCCTTCGACGGGGACGACTGCATCGATCTGCCCACGTATGTGTCCTTCGTAGCAGAGCAGAGTGACGGCCACACCAACATCAGAAGGATCCAGAGTCCGATCCCTCCTGACGCAGACGCAGGGACTTTAAAAGGACCAGGTGACGTCGATACCTGTGGAGGTGGAACGCTTCTGGTGCACGGCTCCAACCGCAGCTCACTCACGGCCTCTAACGACAGCAGCGACGAGTCTCCTGCTCACTACAGAACAAGGGCCGGTGCTGCAAACGCGCCACATGTGGAAGACAGCGAAAACAAGGCGGAGGAGTCTGACATCGCAATGCCGTTGAATTATTCCATTGATGGGGACAGTGAGGACATTCCACTCATCAGCCTGTCCTCGTCCCATGTCCACCACGTCTTATCCGCCTCACCGGGTGATCTGAAAAAAGAGTCTCTCTACCGCGGAGGCCTTTTGAGCTCTAAGATCATGAAGCGCTCGTCCTCCGTTATCTCCGACTCAGGTATCGAAAGTGAACCCAGCTCAGTGGCGTGGCCCGTGGAGGCCTCGCTGCGAGGCCGACCCCCGGTGGATTGCTGCAGCGAGCGGGGGTTCTCACCGCAGATTGTGGGTCGTCGCCCCATCCACCGCAGCTCCCTGGAAGGCCTGCAGATGGAGAGCAACGGCAGCCTTCCAAGCGCCGGCATCCAGGCGTCACTCACCTCGATCAGCTCTCTGCCCTACGAGGAGGACCAGCATCAGAGGAAGATCAGCAAACTGACCAAGTCTGTCTCGGCACCGCAGATAAGCAGTCCAGAGGACAATGAGGAGGACCAGGCGCTACTGGAACACACGGCAGAGAGTGTAGAAAAACACCAGGTGTCGCAGAAGATCGGCTGCTCCAGTTTGACCAGCAATTTAGATTCTGACCACCCAGAATCACCGGAGCTGGGAACAAGTTCAGCGTCAGATTTTAGCTTTGTTGTTAGCTCTGAAACATCAAACCAGGACAAAGGCAGACCCATGAAAGTATCAAGTGGTGTCCCTGAAGGGACGGGTTTGGACGAGTCAGCCAAAAACTCAGACCATCGTCTGATGGAAAGTGTTATTGGCCGGAACGGGGAGAATCTGAATGATCTGGCTCACATCAGTGGGGTAAACGTCTCGCTAATGAATGTGCATTTGATCGAATCAGAAGCGGGATCGTGCCGGTGTGAAAACAAACCGTGTGGACACGAATCGAAGAGCACCGAGAGCCTTGAGGACCAGGAGGAACTGAAGCTGTCGAACAACCTCCACGTGAACGTCAACGCCGCCTCACAGAGGCCCGGTGACCGCAGCGGACTGACAGACTGCGGTAAGATACCATCCAGTGACTCCCAGCCCAAGTCCTCAAAGATCCCCAACTCAGGGCTGGCCTTTGTGAATAAAAAGATGGTGGAGGTGGTCAACATGTCCGTGTCCTGCGCTCCGACCTGTCTCCCATTCTCCTCTGTGCTGAGAGACTCCCCGTCCATCAGCGGAATGTCCAACCGCCAAGCTACCTCGCCGATCACCCATCAGCCCCTGGGCTCCTTTGGTATCATATCCTCGACTTCGTTAAACCTTCTCAACATGGACGAGGAAACCAATGAGCGCATGCTCAAGTGAGTAGCTTAAATAATTATTGTTTTTACCCCTTTAATTTATTTGGATTTATAACACAAATTTATAACACAAATCGAAAATCACCCTGTTTTCCAGTTTCTACAAGGCCAAAGAGGAGATGTTCAAGGACCTGAGCTTTCAGGCCAGCTTATACAGTGACCTTCCTCTCCTAGCGTCTGATCTGCCCTATTTCCCCCCCGAGGAGGACGACGAGGAATTCGAAGACGGCATACACCTCGTCGTGTGTGTCCACGGCCTGGATGGTGAGTCTGCCGCGCCATTCCTCCAAAGAAAGTGTCTTAGTATCTCCATTGTCCTTGATTTATTTCAAAAATGTGTATGTAATTTCATTTTGGCTGCAGGAAACAGCGCAGACCTGCGGCTGGTGAAGACTTTTATTGAGTTAGGCCTGCCGGGATCTAGACTGGACTTCCTCATGTCTGAGAGGAACCAGGTACGGCCGTGCATTAAAGCAACGGGGGCAAACGGAGAACGTGTGCCGCTGCAGGGCACTGAGAGAGTTGTGCTGACGATGTTGGTTTTCTTTTTTTGGCATTTTCCTACAGAGCGACACGTTTGCAGATTTTGACACCATGACTGACAGGTTGTTGGATGAGATCATCCAGCACATCCAGCTGTACAATCTCACCATAGCGAGGATAAGGTGAGGGGTTCCATTTGAATGGCACGCAAATCACTGACATCAACTCCTTTAGTTGATATTGATTCATTATGGAAAACAAGAAGGATATAATTTTTTTTTTCCTTTTTTTTACAGTAGGTTATTATTCAGCCAGTAGATGGCAGCAGAGTGTGTAGATTTTTACCAGTACTGGGCAGGGCCTGCTCCAACAGAGCACGTTTTGGTGATAATTAATAGACAGAGTACACTTGGAAAAAGGATAAGTGGAACAAAATTGATGAGAACGTCTTATCATTTGGTGCCAATACATTTCTGGAGTTGAAGTGATAGGTTGAGCTCTGTTGTACGCCTGTGTTTCACTTTTTCCCCATCAACTGAGGCAATTTATCTTCACACGCATTTTCCCTCAAAGTGCCAATTATTATTTTTTTTGGGGGGGATTGTCTTTTAACTTTCTTTATTGTGCCATGTTCTCCGGAGAGTAAGAATCAAAGTCAGAAGCAATGGACTGCCACAGCAGCATCTGGTACTTCCCCCTCTATATTTAGTTTGACTGGAGACAGATGAGAGAAAGCAGCCGTGGTGATGAGGGATTTTGGGTGCAGCGGTAGCAGCGCGGCAATTAAACCGAGCAAAAACACATAGCTTCATAAATCCAGTCTCTCCTAATGCGGAGAAGACGCTATTTATTCCAAAGATGCGTCCTCTGCTGGCGTCGTTAAGCCGCTGCCTTTGAGAGGCCTTCAATTGTTAGCTTGTTAATAAATTTTGCCGTAATTACAGCCGAGTCGCAGCTAAAAACTGTCCCCGTAGCATCCTTCGGAAGTACTGCTGGAAACACCGCTTACTGTGCGTTCTATAATAAGATACTGCAGTGTCAGAGGTCGGCAGCGTTGGAGGCGCTGTTTTTCTAGCCACCCACTCGAGTTGCGAGCGTACATCTCTGTGAATGCTGTTTGTCTTCGGTCAACAGCTTCATCGGCCACTCTCTGGGGAACATCATCATTCGCTCCGTGCTGACGAGGCCTCGGTTTCGCTGCTATCTGCCCAGGATGCACACTTTCCTCTCGCTGTCGGGTCCACACTTGGGAACGCTCTACAACAGCAGCACGTTGGTCAGCACGGGTGAGGCCTTGGTTCACGAGGAGGCGGGACTTCCTGTACTGTACTGTATTGTATTGTATTTGTACTAATGTGTTTGTATTTATTTCTAAGGTCTCTGGTTAATGCAGAAGCTAAAGAAATCTGGATCTTTGCTGCAGCTCACCTTCAGAGATCACGTGGATCCACGGAAAACGTTCCTCTATCTCCTGAGTCAAAAACCAGGTACAGGCCCGAAACCAGACGATCTGTCGCGTTGACAGCCTTTTTATTCGCCAGCAGTTGTTTTAAAATCCAGGAAGATGTTGTTTCCCTGTCTTCTCTGCATCAGTTTACAAAACCCCAACGATCAGTCACAGCCCGACCGGCTGTGCCCCTCTCTGTACACGGAAGAAAGCAGTCATTTCTCAGACAGCGGATTGAGGAAGATAAAGTTGAAAAATGCCCTTCCTTCTTTCGGAGATGCAGCAGACTAACAAAGTGATCCAAAGGCTGTCACCGTGAACCCACCAGTGCACTTTGTTAAAACACACTGACAAGAGACTTAGGGGGGGAAACAGCTCTATCAAGTCTCTATTATGGTTTTTTTTTTCTTGTGTTTTACAATCTCTTCAAAATCGCTTTTTTTCTGTCTCTCTCTCTCTCAGACACACAAACACTACCAGACTACGTCACATTCTACATCAGCAGTCTAACTCAGTTCTCTGTTCTACAGGGCTCCAGTTCTTTAAGAACGTGGTGCTGGTGGCGTCTCCCCAGGACCGCTACGTTCCCTTCCACTCAGCAAGAATAGAGATGTGCAGAACGGCTCTGAGAGACAGAAGCACAGGTCGGGGGTTTGATGCCATTCAAAAATATCAGATACTTCAATACACAGATACAGCACAGTATCTAGAGTGAAAGTAGTTGCTGTGCAGCGCAGTACTCCGAAGTTCCATCTGTTCGTGATTATACATAATCAACGTTATCCATTTAAATAATTAGAGATCATGTAAAGTTTAGGCATTTTTCTCATCGGGAACCAAGTCAGCGTCGTTACAATTATATTGATTAGTCACAGTGGCATAATGAACCCCTTCATTAATCAGCCCGATACCCAATAATGAGCCAAATAAATCTAATTGCACGTGTGGAGATGTATTCTTTACCAAATACGATTAGGAAAACATTTGACTTTTTGTGTTTTCACTAACGATCGGGGGCAATTAATCACTGTAAATTGGGAAAGAAGCGACAACGGACTGCGCAGATACACAGGCTGCAGTTTCTTCTCAGTGCATGCTTATTGACGATTAATCGCGATCAATCATCAGCTACTCCATTTCTTATTGGTTCAATTTCTTCAATTATTACTATTTCCTCTGAATGTCCCATAATCGTCCTCATTTATATCCCGAAGGACCCGTGTACACCGAGATGATCAACAGCCTTCTCCAGCCGCTCATAGACGCCAAAGGATGTCAGCTCATCCGCCAGAATGTGTTCCACGCGCTGCCCAACACGGCCAACACCCTGATTGGCCGCGCCGCCCACATCGCCGTCCTGGACTCCGAGCTGTTCCTGGAGAAGTTTTTTTTAGTAGCAGGACTAAACTACTTTAAATGAAGGTGCTGGTCCTGCAGGCTAACGGGACAGGAGTCGATATGGAGCTAGCGTTATCCGTAACCTTGTACAGTACATAATGATGTATATAATCCCACTAACGCAAGGGGCGAGTACTGCATTAGTCGGGAGATATAGCAGCTATTAAAAGGGTCACCATGTACGTATTGTAACCGTCTGTAAATGAACTCAAGTCTAGGTATTACATGTAGCCGTGCGAAACAAAGCATTTGACGTTGGGATTGGCTGTAAATGTTTTTTTTGGCCTTATTTTCTCTTAGCAAAACAACTTACTAACGTCTCCCAAAGTAAGCATTAGCCTCTCAGCTTCGATGGTTGCTAGAAGCTCACTCAAGGTATCCCATTGATTCCACACCGTCCTTCAGACCGAGGCGACGGACGCACGGCATTTATCGTTTCGACTGTACACGATGTCACTACAAACAGAACACGTCCTTTTATATAGAGAAACGATATCGTTTGAAGTTATTTATTTTTTATCTGCGAACGTATCTACAGTGTAGGTATTCAATATATATGTGATGTCTGCGTGTTATCCCTCAAACACATCAGTGAGAAGAATTGTAATACACCGAGTACGGCACAGTTAATGTACGTCGCCCGTTAGCCTAAAGCTTACGACTATTAGCTGAAGGGGTTTTTTTTTTTGTTAGCCATTATTGCACACAGCTTTAGGGAGAGCAGTTGTAGCTTCTTCCTTCTTCTTCACGTCCACATCCGGTGCAACAAACTACTGGTTTTATTGTATAATTTATTCAGCCAAAGTATTGTTATTTTGTGCCAATGAAGTGGCAGTCGTTACATCACCAGGGACTGTGTATTATATTAAGTAACACATCGACTTTGTGACTCAGTATTAGAGAGCGTTTTATTCGCTAAATCAGCCGTCCGACTTTTCACCCGTCAAAACGTTTGAGACTTATATTTTGTTCCATGACTCACTGACACGACAGCAGAGCGTTTTCATTAACATATAATGAAAAAAAAAAAACATGCCCATTCTTTTGGCACAGGCATCGATATTTAGTCGTTAATTATCGCATAGCACTTTAAAATATATTTATTTATTCATCTATTTTAATAGTGCGGTGAATCAGGGTGACGTTACACTGGGTCCACTGCCGGTAACTCTCTCACATTCTGGCCATTGTAGCAAACCTGTTGTGTAAATGACTTGTTTACTCCACCGACGACATGAGTGTCGCTTTCAAACGTTTCTTTTTCTCTTTCGCCGAGAAATACTTTCTCATCGTCGTGCCGTCTATCGGAAATGTTTACTTTCTGGCATCAGAGTACTGTTATGACACACGTGACTGAGCGTCTGCTGTATATGCAGTTTGTACCTCCAGAGACCTATATTTAACCTTTGCACTGGTTTTGACGGCAAATGCACTTTACCCACCTCCAGTCGGCCTCCGTTACGTTCGTCGAGCACCCCCCCCCCGGTCCAACGCGTTTTTTCGTCTCCTCTGTGCGTCTGCGGGCTGCCCCTTTGGTAAGCGCTGACCGCACCTGTCTCTCTGGCCATTCAGGCATTGTACGGCCTTGAAAGCGGGCTGTCTCGCAGAACCAGCAATCGCACCACGGAGCGCTCTCCTCTCTATAGAAACCGCCGCAATGGAAGTGCACGGTAAGCAGAGTGTCACAGTGATTGACTTTCATCAAACACCCCCCCTCTGTAGGGCAGCTGGGGAAGGTTCACACATTGTTCCTCAAACACACACACACACACACACACACACACAGTTTGTTTGCTTTTGCTTCTCACTGTACATACAGAGTCATGTGTGTTTACAGGATTTAGTCGGTCGAGATTCTCAGATTGAGATTCAAGGGCAAACAGAGGTGGATTCCTTTCTAAGTTACAGTATGCATTAACGACGCGGTCGTAACCGGGGCGATGACGGGTGCAATCCATACGTGCTATAGATCTGTGCAAGCGCCGCCATCCTTCACAACCAGCTGACTTGAACCTTTTTTTTTTTTTTTTTGTATTTGATTGCCCTTTACTGCAAGCAAACACACTGACGTGTGTGTGTGTGCGCGTGTAACATAACGTGTAAAACGTCCGATCGTGTCTGATCATGACAGAAACATGGAGTTCATCCTGTGATTCATTGGCTGAATGTACAGTAAATAATACTTCCTTTGTGCCAATACTAATATTTTTCTATGTACTCCTTTACTCGCTTGTGTTCTATGTATGTGAATTTATGAATAGAATATATGTAAATATATATATATATATACATATATGTACATATATGTGTATATATATATAAGGCAAAATCATTATAACAAATCGTGGTAACATTAAAATCTTTTTTTTTTACATATTGTTTGCTTCGCTGTGTACTTCAGTACTGCAAGTTGCTACACACACACACACACACACATATATATATAAATATTATTTTTGTGAAGTTATGTTAGGCACAAGTCTGGACTGACATATTGCTTTGTTGAATCAAACTAAGGCTCGGGTTCAGTGAGTGTGACAGATGTTTTTTTTTTTGCCATATTTATTTAAAATCCTGCAACTATAACAATATTTCCTATAGGCTAATGATCCATGGCTCAGTAGCAGCCTGCGGACCAGAGGTTGAGGAGCCCTCTCTTAGATTATTCGCCACCGTCCCAAACCATACACCATATCTTTTCTCACAACCGTCCTGTTCCTCACCTCTTGTCACCCTTTTTTATAAACCTCCCATTAATATCAATTATTCTCCCATCAAAACCCGATTGACTTTTCCCCCGTCAGACTATTACTGGACACAGACACTGGTCTGACTGTGCCTTGCGCTGCCACAGGTCTGCAGCTGCTGGCCGCCGCCTCAGCCTCCGCTGAGACAGATTTGTCACGGCCCCTAACTTCTGTCTCTTTATATTCTATTAACGAGCCCCGCTGTAGGACAACAATGATGAGCCATTTGTATCATCCGCCGGTGACACGGGCAGTAAACAAATCATAGCCACAATCCCCAGTGATGCCCCATTTCAACTGCATCAATTTATGGCTTCCAGCGTTCAGATACCCCAGAGCTATAAATCCAGGCCACAACAATCCATACTCCATTTGATTTCAAGGTGTTCTTTCTCATTCCACCGTCCATTTGTCACTGCTTGTTAAATTCATCATCAAACTGAGGCTAGTTGAGTCCCACTATAGTTTTTTTTTTTCCCCTCCAAAATCAATATTACTCATTTTTCCTCCCCGGCCTGACAAACATCACTTGTTACCGAGGGAGCGAACCTCACGCGTAACGCAGGTTAACAGCCATCTGTTGGTCACATCCACTTATTATCAATGCAGTCAAATGGCCAAATAAAGCAAATTAAAAAAAAAGAAAGAGGCTCGTGTTTTACGACAGAGCTCCAACACAAACACGTCCCCTCGGAGGCCTCTCATGTTCTGCATTCGCCGCACCTCCTCGGCCATAAAGCAGAGGAAAAATGACTTTGTCATTAAATCCATCACTTGGGTTTGATTGAGGCGGTGTTCATTCCATTGTTTGCCCCGCGACGGTGGGAAAACATTAATCCCAGGGTGATGCTCTGGGCTGGCGTTGTCAGTAAGCAAGCTGCCAGTGGGAGTAATTATTGCCGCATGAAACCGTCAGTGATGGGAGGTAATAAGATCTCACACGGTCTTATCATCTCGCACGACACTGATGAGGCTTTCGTGAGCAAATATCGGGAAAATAAAGCGGCGCAAAACGTGACAGGAAGTGAGCTTTTCGTACAGTTTCGAGATTCTTTCGAATCTATTTTTTAAAGTGCCTCCAAATATTCAACTACGTCCTCATGATATTGATGTACTGTTCTTAGAATGACTCCAAACCAGAAGTGGAATCTTGACCTTTTCTCACAACAGTTACCAAAATAAAAGCATCAGTCAAAGTACTCCGTGTATTACTGTACGTTGATCATTAGCGCTGCTTATCTAAAGTGGGGCAATAATCCTCTCCGGCCATTTGCCATCCAGCAGATGGTGGTGTTACTCTCTCCGCCCATGTGTCACGTGACCTGCTGCAGGCTTTAAAACCTTCACTTATTTTATCAGTTGTTCGAGTCCGTCAATATTGTTCTACTGCTTCCTGTCGAGGTAGATCCGCTCTGTGCTGTTTTAGAGTTCTCTGTGTGTGTGTGAGTAAGGTATGTACCTCTCTGCCAGTAACCTTATAGGTCAGACACATCTGTAATGAGCGCAGCAGTGTGTGTGTGAGAGACTGCGTACGCCGCAGAGCTATAGGCAACCGTATTGATCGGCAGATATTTAACATTTACTGTAGCACCCCCGACTGACAGTGCAGTGTCAGGCTGCCTACTCATCTGTCAGATAAGCAGCGGGAGAACAGGGAAACAGCAGTTTTTTACAGCAACAAAAGTTCTTCTTAAAGGCCAAAACCTCGTGCCCTCCATTCATCTTATTGTTAGTTTGACCTTTTTTTTTTAAGCAATGGCAAAAAAAAATTCATTTTTCTTTATTCTCCATGTGGTCTTTAACATTGTTCTTTACAAAATTCAAATCAGTTTGTTGTATTTTTTTTTTTTTTTTTGGTTTCGTGGAGTAACGAACAGATGGTTGAGTCCATGCAGACCAACTGTTTTGCGAACAAAAACATCCAGTTTTACTGGCTGTGAATTAAAATAGACAATAATAAAAAATAACATCATGAATAACAACAGGACTCCCTTGACATGTAGCGTAGGTGTCGGTCAGCTAGGGGCCCACGGAAGTGGAATCCCATTAACTGAAGGAAGCCCAGATATCTCCCTTATTTACTGTGGCTCAGAGTAAACTGTTAGAATATTTATGGTTTTTAAACAGAACAGCTCCTAGATCTACAAACACCTCCAAATGACTCACACTGTAGGTTAGCAACAGCCTCGATGGCATCAGAGTCACTGACACACTAACACATCCTGACTTCCATGAAATGATATGATGGGGGAAATGACTCAACATTGATTCAGATTTGGGGCCAAGAGTCTTTTAAACAACATATCTGATATGGATTTATACAAAAGTATTCTCAGTGCGTAGGAGTAACAGTTGAGTAGAGGTTGCCATATATTGAACCCTTGAAAAGTAAATGTAACATATTAATTATAATTACTTCAAATGTATGAGGTAAGTCAGCGTAAGAGATGTGGAAGTCATACGTGCAGTTTTTTTTCATTTATTAATTTGTATCCAAACTATGAGAGTGAATATCAAAGTATCAATACCACAGAATCGTACTTCGTCCCATGTACTGTTGGTCCTGACATTCTTTCCTAAAAAAAAAAAAAAAACCTGCTAAATCTGGATCACAAGTTTAAGAAGTAATCTCCCCATAATCCTCAAAAAAAAAAAAAATACAAATAAACTATAATCCCATGTAATGACAGATGATCCTGCACAAAGGTCGTCTCCATTATACAGAAGAAAGATTGTGAAAGAAAAGATACACATCCCTAACGGCTTCATGTCCGGACCCCGTGAATTAAGTCATCGTGATTTTCGCCCTTCAACTAAATGTGCTACGTCGGCAAAACGACGAACTACGCTGAGCCAGAGATATCGTGTCTCGATATGCTCCGAATCCATCTCCCTTTTAACGACAGATTAACCTTGATCCTTCATATCTGGGGATTATCCACTCTGTGACGAGTGCATATGTGCTATGTTTTTTTCATCAGAATCAGCAGATCTACAAGTATTTCTCTATTTTCATTTTTCTTTTTTTTTTTTACATATTTGTCCTACAGATACATTCTTTTTCCACCCGTGTTCCTGCTCTGTAAACATGTTTGTTATCTGACAATGCAGAAGCTCCGACCCTGCCCCCGTGCTGCAGCGACCCCCCGCCCCCCCGCCTCCCCCCACATGCTTCCCAACCTTGTTGTCCAGCCTGAGGCTATAAACATTTGCTGAAACCGGTGTCACCAAAGCGACATATGAAGCAGAGGAAGCGACAACTGCTGTACATTAGAGTCCTTTAAGGAACATTAAACCCGGAAAGGGGAAACCTTCAAAATACAGTTACGTTAGAACTAAACTCATGACTCAGCTTATATTTTTTATGTCACTTTGCAAAATATTATAAATATAATAGTGAATTATTATATCTAAGGGGTCGACGAGCTAGTGGTAGTTTGCCTGCGCTGGAGGCCCCTTGTCTTCTAGCAATACAGTTCCCCTTAAAGGGCCGGTTGTAAATGGAAGACCGTATAGATCAGGGGTCCCCAACCCCTGGTCTGCAGACCAGTACCAGTCCATAGGTCATTTGGTATAGGGCCACAGTGGGACACTGACTTGTTTTTTACTAATTTACTTCATTAAAAGAAAATCCAGAAACCCAGAAAATCCACCATATACAGTATATTACTTTCTTTTTTTAAAGATAATCTGGCAATATTTTAATAATAAATAATAGGTCATTCAGACTAATACATGTTTCTGCAATTGATGATTATTATTTATTCAAGCTACAAATATTGTTCATTGCTGTGTAGTAAGAAGAAAAATTTTTCACAGGTTAAGAAACACTGCTGCACAAACTTTACTAAGTTTTTTTTAGGCCACACAAAATGACTTGGCGGGCCGCATTCGGCCCCCGGGCCTCAAGTTTGACACGTATGTTTTGATGGGTGGATGGATGTCCTAAGAAATTAAACTACCTTTTGATGCAAGAAAAAGACTTAATTTTGTAGTTAGTTGAGTCAGTTTAGGTTTAAACGGACCAACAAGGAACCATGGACGTAGCACACGTTTGTGCTGGAGTATTTGACTGTACATATGGAGGTAAATAATTAGGCATCACAGTCTCACTCCGAGTTAATTACACGATTAGTAAAGGAAGGTCATCCTCAGAAGACTTGGTTCGCCTTATAGTTTCATTAAGAGCCAGAAAAAAAAAAAAAAAAAGAAGAAGGGGCAACTGGGATCCATCAATTCTAAACATGAGGCCTCCCTTGCTAATGCAGTTAATTGGCAATGTGATTAAAATTCAGAATTGAATTGAGAAGTTGGCTATTCATCCTTTTCATTTTCCACTGATGTGATTTTCTCTCTCTTGACTATGGGGGTGGGGAGTCTATAAATAAAAAAGTAATATGGTTTCTGAGCTCATTTTTAAAGCTACTGGGCCGTTAAATCGCTACCTAAATGTGGATTCTCGGTATAGATTAATGAGATAAAATATTCTCATCATGGATTATTCCTATACGTTGACTTTGACGCTCTCAGATGTTAGCATGGCATGCAGGGGTTTCCACCCCTGGCAGAGGCAGAGGAAGAGAATCAAAGAGAGA